TGTTCCACAATGTTTCAGTGTTCCACAATGTTTCATTGTTTAGTTGTGCAACGCCCGTGCATATACAATATATCTCAGTCATATTGCTTATATAACAATTTTATAGACGAGTTTCAGTATCCTCAGAACTGACAGAAAGTATTAGCAACGATATATTGCTGCTGTGAAATGAAAATAACGGCGACAAGAGAATAATAATTCTCCACTTCGCGCGCTAGAGTATAATGAAAATCATCACGAAACCGCTGTTCTTTTTCAAAACTGACCTATGACAAGTTGGACAAACACTGGACAAAGCCGACAAACCATAAAACTTGGAACACTACCTTGTGGTTGTTATTTTACCGTGTTTTGGTGGCCTGATCCAAAATCCAGTAAAAAACATGGGTCAGTTTTGTAAAAAGACCAGCGGTTTCGTGATGATTTCACATATTCTTACGTAAGAGAAAGCTGACCCACAACTGATTAGTTTAATCTGTAGAAAATGAGTTGGTTTTTTCAATTTTTATTTCAATTGATATCGGTTATTTCAATATTTCAATAGTCAACTTTGCTGTATTTTACAGTTTCCGCGTAACTCATTGATTTAGCATCATATTATTTCGTTTACCACTTTTGTCAATAATTCGGACGGTTTCACAAGTGTGCGCAAATGTAGAGAAAGTTTCTGATCAAAATTGCATTTGCTGAAAATGGATTTACATGCAAGGTATTAGAATTTTCAAAATATATCATAGTTTTCTTGATTTTCAAAGCCGGCCTAGATTTCTTTGGATTAAAAATGCGTAACAGTTCCTGCAAAGCATATGCAGACGAAGCTACTTGCCAAAGTGTCAAAGCCGACATTAACCTCTTAAGAGATAATTTTCTTGATAAAGTAAACAGGTCACAAAATACAACTTCGTTATACTTTTAAGAAATTCAGACCTGTTAAGAAATTGGCCTTTGGTTCAATTCCCAGAACACTGAGTAAGAATGACTGCGATGATAAAATTATAGTATAGATAATAAATATTAGTAGATACAGGAACCGCTAAGACCACACGAAGTTAGAATACTGTGCCGTGCTTGAATCCTTAAAGAATCTTTTAAATCCCCGAGAAGCTGATGTAGAGCCTCAAGAGCCGAAAATCATCAGCTTTGATATCCCCAGAAAGAGTCCAACGTCTTCAGCTTTTTGAAGCCTTGAGAAAAGTCGAAGATCAATCCAAAGTTATTAGCTTTTTTAAGCCTTGAAAGGAGTCGACCAAAAAAATCATCTGTTTTTTGAAACTTCAGTATATAACACTTATTTACTGCGACCGAAGGAAACATGTTTTGTGGACCCGACGAGGATAAGGATTTTGTGGATTTCACGAGGCGAAGGTAAATTTCGAACCTATAAGTAGCGTCCCATAGCGATGCTCATGTAATGGGACATAGCATACAGTAGCTATATTTTGTTACCCTCGAGTTGTTTAAGTATTAGGAAATCGAAACGAGATTGCATTATATTTAAAATTCTCAGTCGTGCAAGCTAACTATAGACGAGTTGGGTACGAACCGTTTCCTTGAGCATGCAAAACATGTCAATTTATAATTCTGCTTTCAAAAGATCGAATGAGGCCTCCATGCAGCTAAACCCTTCCAGATAAAATTGACATTAATAATAATGACTCCGGGGTAAGGCAAAAAGTGCACTGTGGAGTGGAAGATATTTCCTATCCGTTCACGTTTTTGCGTGAGAGTAATTGCTATAGTGCATGGTAAAAGTCGTACATGCAGAGATGTGTTTGGAAGTTTGGATAAGCAGTGCACTACAACTTGTTTAGCTGTATAATAATACTAAATTTCTTACAAGAGAAAAAAGTTCCTTAAAAAGTTCGCAGGTCTTCGAGTTTAACTTCATATCATTATGTCCTAAGCGGAAATCTTCAGTCACTTCTTTGATACTATTAAGATTATGAGGCGTCGTATTAAATTATGAGGCGTCGTCGTATTGATAATGAGGCGTCGTATTGAGGCGTCGTATTGGCGTGAGTTTTAGTACGTTTCCAGAGCGCAGTGATTTCTTTATCGTCAGAACGTTTTAAACCTTTTCAAATAAAAGTTAGGCATTGAATGAACTTTAGTGATGGAGGATAGATAGATACCTTGACAGAATTTATTAGAAGTTACAAAAACAGTGCTAAGTGTTCCCGAAATGGAATTCTCAAATCATTTGAAAATGTATTGAATGACTACTGGATCGATATTTTCGATAACGCATGTTTTTGAGATAACGAATGAAAATTTTATTAAATTTCCTCTGAATACTTACTTTAAATCTCTCTTTTAATTTCAATCTTAAAGGTAGATTAAATTTACAAATAGCTATGAATATTAATAATAGTTATAATAAATACTGACATCAGTGACATGCAATGGCATATAAATAAAGATTACTTCATGGTTGGCGAGTGCGTACGATTTTTATGCACGAGTTGTGAAGGATCGCAAAACGAACGAGTGAGCGCAGCGAACGAGTGAGTTTGCGATCCTTCGCAACGAGTGCATAATAAAAATCGTACAAACGAGCCAACAGGGCCGAAACTACAGGGTGTCCCAAAAAAAACGAAAACTATTGAAATCACTCATTGTTGAAATTTGAATGCCGTGTGCACGAATTTTAACCCGTGGGGATTTAATGCAACTCAGTAAAATGCTAAATGCTTTGTGTTGCTGGAGAAAGGGGAAGGTCATGGTGATTGAGGTGCACATTTAAATATTGTTAACAAATATCATTTTCGCGTACGAGCAAATTTTACTGCACCATATGCATGCATAAAAATGCTTATGGCAAACATTTACACACCTGTGGGTCCGAACAGAGTGCTTAGGCATTCAAACTCTAACAATTACATTGTTATGGGTGATTTCAATAGTTTTCGGTTTTTTTGGGACACCCTGTATTTCCGCAAAATAAGGGCTTTTAAATTGCACTACAGGGTGTCCCAAAAAAAACGAAAACTATTGAAATCACTCATTGTTAAAATTTGAATGCCGTGTTCACGAATTTCAGCCCGTGGGGATTTAATGCAACTTATAAAATGCTAAATGCTTTGTGTTGCTAGAGAAAGAGGACATGTCGAACGTCATGGTCCTTGAGATGCACATTTAGATAATGTTATCCATATTTGTAAATTGTAAATATTGTTAATAAATATCATTTATTGCGAACAAGCAAATTTTACAGCATCATATGCATGCATAAAAATGCTTATGGCAACCCCGATTTATACACTTGTGGGCCCAACAGAGTGCTTAGGCATTCAAACTCTAACAATGGCATTGTTATGGGTGATTTCAATAGTTTTCGTTTTTTTTGGGACACCCTGTATAGAACGATAATTGGGGGGGTGTTTATTCATATATTCAGTTCTGCCCGACGGATTTCCACTGTGAGCTTTTGCACTTACAAAAGAAATCCGCAGGGCAGAACTGAATATATGAATAAACATCCCCCCAATTATCGTTCTAGTTTCGGCCCTGCGAGCCAACCATGAAGTAATTTGTTTATTAAATGTGTATAAAGATCAATTTGACAACGACACGCTTTTAATATATAAAAACACAGCGAGCAACAAAAATCAAAATTTTATGCATCAAAACATGTTTATTACGGTTCAGTTTCTTCGTAATTTTGTTCAATATACAATTACTTAATGGTTTCCGTGTTTGGATGGCCTGATCCAAACACGCGGGAATGTTGCGAGAGTTAAGAAAAGCGCACTAAATAAACTAGTTTTTAAATTCCCGCGAAATTTCTGTGTTTGGATGGCCTGATCCAAACACGGGCTTCAACCAATCAGAACACACGTTATATACATGTTATTTTATAATAGAAGTTAACATATTTTTCCCGAAAGATTTGAGAATGTGCTGAATGTGTAAATATCATGAATATGAGACTTATGTTTTGAATCTCACTTCTATATTTCGATGCCATCTTGAAAGAAAATGTAAACAAATTGCCACCAAAGTGACATACGACAATTTTTCACGTGTGAAGAATATCTTGCGTCCAATCAAAAGCCGTGTATGGCATTTTTTCACACGTGAAAAACATCGTACGTTCAATGAAATTAACTTACACAGTGAAATACCATTTTTATCTCATCGTTCTGCTGTGCATAAATCTCTATACACATATATTAACCGTGTTTAATCCACCCGAAGTTGTTAGCAAATATATCAAATCGCGGTCAAATTGTTACACGGTGAACGGTGTATATTATTTGACTACAATTGTATACCACCAGATCGCATCAGCGGGTATCGCATTTATACGTAGAATAGTTTGATTAGAATCATTAAGAAAATTGTGTTCATGTTTACTGATCGAGAACACCGAATACGATAAAATTTTGATTTTCAGCAGTTGAAAATCGCATCAAAAATAATCGTAAGATTAATTTATACCCCATCCCGAAGTATACCCGGATATCTTCGTTCCTAATTGACGTCAAGTGCTAAGAAATGTTTGTCTGATATATAACAAACCCTTTCTTGTGCAACATGCATGTTATTTGTAAACTAAAATGCGTATATGTTTGATTTTTCTCTTGATACGATACCAGCCGTATGAAATGCTTTAAAATAGTTCTTCAGGTTGTGTGAAGGTGCATGTCACTATAATTATAGTCGATAGTCTGCTACAAGGAAAAAGGCTATTCATTGAGAGACACCGAAGGTAAACTAGTTATTCCAAAGCCCTGCACATCTATCTCAAAAAGAGTTTTTATAATTATAGTGGTGCACCGCATGCGGTGCTTAGGAACAATCTTTCTACTAATTTACGTTCAAGTTTCTTCAAGTCTTGATTTTTTCAAAATTAGTTGTAATGCCTAATAATTAGTGTTCCCCATATTTTGACTTATTATTAAATAATTACTTATATAATGATATAATTATATATAAACACCGCGCTTTTGGAGAGCAGGCTTGAATGTGAACTATATTTTTAACATAGGTACAATTGTAAATATTTAATGCTTGTGTTTTTATTGTAATTTTGTCTACATTTCCTGAAGAGTAACTTGCTGCTGCAGCGAACGAGTCTGAAGCAAGCGAGCAAGGCAGCATTCCTAATCTATACATTGGAGGGAAAATCTCGATTTTACTATGCGCGTTGCATTGTGGTAGCTCTTATACATCCTTTCATTTGTACCTGCTTGCAGTGCGTAACAGCCTTCGTACACGACCCTTCGTAGAGAATTCCCTAAACAGCCCCTGACATCATTCAGGCAGCATTTATACCGATGGGTAACCTAGTACTGTGTTTAAATAAAGTGGTCAACTCAACTCAACTCAACTATGAAAAGAGGAAAATCGCACATAAAATCGGAAGTGTAAATGGCCCCATTCACACTTTTTGCTGCGATTTTCTTCTTTTGATAAATATAAACGGATAATAAAATTAATTACGAATGCTCTGATGTGTACGAAATCGAGGTTTTAAAACCAGTGATAAACTTCCCGCGGTCGAATGATTAATGCACGTTCACATTTTATCCTGTAAAGTAGCTGCAGGCTTTGAATACTTAATCACCATGTCGTAAAAACTTGAATATTCTACTGTCATTTCCATAAACATTTTTGGCAAAACATCGATAAAATGACTGTCCCTCATTCTTTGATACTCTAAGAGTACTTTTATACATTCCTCTATGTTGTAAACTCTGAACCAACTCTGGTTGATTTGACGAAATAGTCCATTGATTTTCCTTGGGTTTTTCCTCTATATCTAGTAAGGCTTGCTGATACCACGTGACAACAGGTCTTGGTTTTGACCTCTTTATTTTACATGTGACAAATCCTTCCTCATTTTTTCGTTTCAGGTAAATCTGGCTAATCGGATTACCAATCTTAGGAGCGGCTAAAAATACATTCGTACAAAGTTAAACTTAAAGCGAACTTTTATGATCGACATATAATGTTATATCCTTGCCACGCGTTGTAGCAATCCTTGTAAAGGTATACGGAATTTACATCATAACACAATGCGAATGTACACATTGATGTAAAAATTATTGTTCAGCATTATTCGTTATTATCAGTTAAAATATTTTGATGTTTCTTTTTTGCTTTTGTCCCACCAAAATTCTCGATATTAAAAAGAACGAATCCCAACTCTTCTTTATATTTCAAAACGTGATGCAGGATGATTTTCTTAACCAAATATGCATAGAAAACAAAACAAAACAAGCACCCTTTTGCCCGAGCATAAAATATAGGATTCCCGATCGTCGTCAGATATCATAAAATATTGCCGGCTGCGGCAGCCAATCAGATTGCAGAAAATGCTAGGATTCCGCTCGCTGTTGATTTGTAAAAAAATCAATTTATTTCCATATATAAAGTGTCAATTTATAGACAAAAGTAGTGGCAAGAAAGATCTTATTAGTCTTTCGCTGTTGCCTGCAAACGTGATGCGTACACTATCGACGCTTTGCATGGTTGGTTACGATTTCGCATAATTTTGTACTATAATATACATTGTGCTCTCGCGTACAATGTTTAAAGTTAAAATGACTAGTTAAAAGGTGGACAAAAAATCTAAAATTCGTAATGTTTGGAACGTAAATAAATCCGTGAAATTTATCACGCTTTATACTTGAATGAAAATGGTATTATATATACAGAAACACGGCGACATTCTTACCTGTAACATTTACGCGAAATTGTATGCTAGCATTACCGACATCATTCCTTGCAACACACTTGTACAAGCCGTCGTCTCGGGGAAACAAAGCAGATCTTATTATTAACTTGTGATATCCTGTAATATCATAATTATCTTTTGAGCATGCTATTGCTGCTCTGTATGTTCCATTTTCTAAATGCAAATCAGTTACTTCAATAGTCTTTCCGGAGCAGAATATAGCAAGACGTTTATTAAGATAACAACTGATATCAGGTGATGGTGCTCCATTCACAGAAAATTGGATTGATATATCATTTTCCTCCTTGCTGACGAAAACAGGTTTCGTTTCATGAAAAACAGGTGGTCTCTTCCCTGTTAAAAAACCGAACATCGGATTGAATAAATCATGCACATGAATGATGCGCCAGAGCAAGGTAATAATTATAGAACATCGAGGAAAAGATGATAATATGATGTAAAAAGGTGGGATAAGTTTCGTGGTATAAGGAGGCTTCTAAATTGACAAAGATATAATAAAAGAGACGTTCAAAAAGGGCGAAATATGTTCAAAAAGGGATCACAGGGCATCGTGATGGCATGATGCTGGATAAAATATATATACATATAGTTAAGAAAGGTATACTTACCTTTAACCAGCAAAAACCTCACATTTGTGTAACGCATATTGCCATTTTCTCTCACTCCACATCTGTAAAAACCAATATCGTCTGCCTTGACCTTATTAATGATATACTCTTCAACACTTTGTGTAGCATCTTTTCCAAGAGTTATAACACTTCTTGGAAGATAATCTGTCTTTCTTGTTCCATTTATTGAACGCCGTCTTTCCCATTGTAGTTCTGTTGATGGCTTCTCATATTCACAACGAAATTTAAATCTCATGCCGTCATCAATTACGCTTGTCTGTTTAGCAGGTAGTATGTCGAAGTAATATGTCTTTACTGTATAAAAATCACAATGCAAATGTATTATGAGGTCAACGTAACTAGTTTGTGAACGGCAAAGTTACTCCTATTATTGCTAAGCGACCAAGACTCGCTTTGTCACTAAGCAGGGTTCAATACGTATACGTAATTCTTATTACCAAAAGTCATCCACTACAGTCTGTTTTATCTATTTCTTAAGGTGGTCACGATTCCTATACGGGATGAAACAGACCGTAGTGGACGAATTTCAGTGATCAAAATTATGTGTATTTCGCTCTATATCTATACGATATTCAGCACTCTCTGGTATTTTGTGATATATGTTGATATATAATAGAACAAGACGATTACTATAGATTACTAATTCAACACAATTGCAATTGAACACGTTAACTAACCGCAAATTCGCGAAGCCCTCGAGCGAAGCGAAGGGGCGAACGAGAAGTCGACTTGTTCCGCGATAGCAGCCCAGGAAGCATGCGAAATTTATGTAAGCATGTTTCCGCTTGCAGGAATGTCAGATATTACTAATATTGCGTAATCTTTGAATATAGGCTTTGAATACAGCTATAGTTTACTTCCTGACACAGAGTAATTAAAGATACACTAATCATGCCTTAGATTTACTAGCAAAAAGATCATTAAAAACATTACCTTATTACTGATATTATAATATTTAAACAGTATTTATAACAATTATGATTTTTGGCACTTCACTCGATGCAGGAATATTCTAGAGGTTTAAAGGGTTTTAATTTCGAGTGGTATTATACACACTTCAAATTCAAGCCAGGAACAGTTGATGAAAAATGAGTCAACTATAGGTCCTCCGGCAGGAATCGAACCTACGCTTTTGCAATGCCGGTGCAATGCTCAGTGGCTCGAAATTAAGACCTTTTAAACCTCTAGTATTTATAACATTGCTGTAACTATAAGTCAAATGAAATTAATGAAATTATAAGTCAAATATAAGTCCAAAGCATACTATTTGATAGAAAAAATGAATAATATAAGAAATAATACCTGGTACAATTGTGAGTATAGTAATAGCATGGTCCTTCAACCAATTACCATTTGAATCAAATATCGAACAAGAATATTGTCCAGCATCATCCCATCCCAAATTTGTAATTACTAATACATTTCCATATTGTTGTATATTTCCGCCAGGTTTTAAAAATTTCTCGCCAGGAAGAAAAGTAAGTTTATGAAATTTATATGTGTCATTCTGGTTCTTGAGAGGGCATGTAAAAGCGCAGGATGAACCAATTTCACGAACCTCAAATCCTAAAAAATATATACGTATATATGCATTGAAGTTTAATCAAGTGAAGATTTATTTTACTGAAGATTTATTTTACTGATATTATAATTATTAGCTAGGCAGAGTTGCAAAAGGAGTTCAACCTTCCTCCGGCATAGGATTTAAAGTTTTGAAAACTTTCCTCAAAATTACGTTACGTCACTGAGTCAAGTGGACAAGCATAAAGAAATATTTGGTACATGGCGACATGCATCATGCATGTCATCAATTAGAGTGCTCAACTTCAGTTGAACCTTTCTCACAAACCTCATTCAAAGCAACCCTTCCTCGCGAGTGGTACCCGCAACTTTGTAGATAGGATTGCATCATTTCATTACAACCATCTGATATAACATACTTAATAACAAACACTAGGAACATCTTTTTTCATCTGATGGGGGCATAAAATTATTATGTTTCTAAAAAGTCGACAAACATCCAAATACACAAGCAGGATTGAAAAAAAAAATTTAAAGAGTATTTTCATTTATGACAATAAAATTTTGAAACTTTTACTGCAATTTTTGTTCAGTGAAAATTTTTTGTCGTTATTGCAGCTATGTGCAACTTGCAGGGGTGTACCTACAGATTGCTACTTTCTCAATGATGCATTTGTAATTAATATGCCAAGAAGCACAAGATTTACAATCAAATTGGCGTTGTCGCACTAGTCGAGTTGGTCTTCTGCTCAATCGATCAATACTTAAAAATGTTCACAACTTAAAATATTTATCATCAACAACTAGTAAAATTTACAAATAATACGTCTGTGAACAATATCTTTCAACTTAAACTATTTTAACTCTCATTTTACCGAATTAAACTTTTGATGACGTAATCTATTACATGCTCGACCGCGCAAAATTTTAAACACAATTGATTGACATAAGAGCTTCCATTGCCTAGCACTTGTTTCCAGTCAGTAAAATACTGTTTACCTTAAATTGCGCCCTATACTAAGACTACTATACTTGGCAGAGAATCTCGTTATTAACATACTAACCTACCCATTAATGGTTTTGTGACTATAATTTTTAGATGACATTGAATGTCAAATCTTTGATGCTCGCTGCTGTATTTGTAGTCGTAGCTTACTGTGTAAAAACCAGGAGCGTACCGTCCGTTGTTTTTTTTTGGATTGGTCGAATATGGTTTGGTCGAGCAATCGATAGGTTTAGGTTCTGCCCAACTGACAAAGACCAAACTTCCATGACTTCCTTTTTTCACTATTAGGGTGCTGGGACACTCGCAAGCTTTATAAGCAAATTAAAATGTTTGTGAGAAAATGATTTAATATACAGCAACTATATAATTATATATATATATATATATATATATATATATATATATATTTATATATATATATATATATATATATATATATATATATATATATATAATATATATATATATATATATATATATATATATATGCAATACCCCATATGGGTACATTAAACAGTAGAAATGAACTTGCTAACAAATGCCGTCACGGAGGAAAGCTTTTATTAAAAAACGTGTAGCGAACGAGTATAAATAAGACCGAAGTTAGCTGGCACACTTTAGACCTGACGAGGTGATATATATATATATACAGTAGGAGGCAAAAGTTTGAGTCCAGTCGTTGTAGAATTCCAGTATTAAATCCTGGCAGCGTATTGGAGTTAAGACATGCGTGCTAGTGTTTCAGTACTGTAAACTATATTAATTGCACACTGTTTTGGTCCTAATGATCTAAATTATAACAAAATAAAGTTCTCATTCCTTTACACTGCCCAAGATGGGTAGGAAAAAGGGCAAAGTGATGGTGCACAAGGACAAATAGTTCCATTAAGTATTGAAGGATTCTTTCCTCGTAAGATCGCAGAAGAAGTGAGAATTTAAAAAGGTGGTATGCAACTAACCTTGGAGAGGTTCGAAGAAACTAAATCCTACTCAAGCAAACTTTTAGCTGCTTTGGTCATGCTCGGTTTGGCAATATTGAAAGATATAATAGGATCCTAATTAAAGAAAAGTATCATCCAATTCTTCAAGGACATGGAATTTCATCTGGTACAAAGATGATCGCACGTCTAACTACATGATAATCACCCTAAGCACATGCACATCTTCTATGTGCCAGAAATCGTTTAGAAGCAAACTCATTCTGGTGATCTCGTTGTCATGGCTTTCCACCTCATATTCCAGATCTAAAACCTATGGAGCACTTGTAGAACCGTTTTAACCGGAAGAGGGCGAGGCACAGACCCGCCAGCCAGGCTGACTTGAGGCAAGTGGTCAACGAATGCTGGCAAGGTATTGAACGTGTGACATTAAAAAACCTATGGAATCTATGCGAGCAAGAATAAAGGTCATTTCAAGAGCAAAAAAGAGGGAACCAAGCAATGACATGTAAATGCATGTTTGCACATTAAAATACGTAAAAATGAATATCATAACATCTCATAGTTGTTGTACAGCATGTATTTTTCAGTTTACTTGTTTACTTTTTTCTAGTTCACTTATCGGTAAGGTTTTCTGTAGAATATTAATATATGCTGCTGAAACAAAGAAATACAGTCACTGGACTCAAACTTTTGCCTCCTACTGTATATATATATATATATATACATATATATATATATATATATATATATTTATTTATTTATTTATAGATATATATATTTATTTATAGATATTTAATTACATTAGAGGGGAACTCGAATGTGAATTTCGACCGAAATCAGTAATGAAGTCGCAGGATAATAATTTACCCACCACCCGAGCCTCACAGCTTTAACATTATTTTGTGGCAAACACAACTTTAATATTCTCAAAAATATTTCACTATAAATCTGATGATGAATATGAGACAGACGTCATTATAATTTCATTTATACAAACTCCGTTTTCATAATGACAAAAAAGAAAAGAAAATCAAAATATTTGCGTGCAAAAACCAGCCGAGGCGCAACATAAAACTTCGGAAGTTGTATGAGACGTCTGATGTTATATTTCATGGTAATTAATAATTAAAATAATAACACTAACTATAGATTAGTGTGACTGAAATGCGGTACACGGCTTTGATTTGATTTCAAAAACGAACGTGCTCTTCCTATATCACACCTATTGAATTCCTCCTACAAACAAAAGAAGCTTCCCTTGTCATGGAAACAGGCTAATATAACACCCATTCCAAAGGAGAAACCTGTTAAGGACATAAACAAACACCTTAGACCTATATCGTTAACCCCTGTCCTATCTAAGCTTGCGGAGGAATTTGTCGTGGAAAAATACTTCGCCCCAGCTGTGCTTACGGTAATAGATCCTTTTCAATTTGGTGGCATCCCTCGATCTTCTGCTACCAAAGCTTTAATTTCCATGATTCATTCTTGGTCTCAAGCCACTGATGGAACAGGTAATGCAGTAAGAGTGGTATTATTTGATTACAAAAAGGCTTTTGACCTGATTGACCACAAAATTCTAGCAAAAAAAGTCATCAATTTACCCATGCCAACTTTCATCAAGCGATGGGTGGTCGACTTCCTCATGAACAGACAACAACGAGTGAAATTAGCAAGATATTGTAAGTCCGAATGGATTGATATCCCTTCCGGTGTCCCTCAGGGAACCAAACTGGGACCCTGGGTGTTTATTCTTATGATAAATGACCTCCGCCCTCCTCATTTCGAGCGATGGAAATACATTGACGATACTACTGCATCAGAAATTATTCATATAGAGACTCATCCAGTAATATTCAAGATGCAGTCGATTGCGTTCAAAACGAAGTGCAAGGAAATCGTAATCAGTTTCACTAAAGTTGAGAAACAATTTCCTCGCCTAAAGATTAATTTAGGTCATATCGAAGTAGTCAAGCATGCCAGAATCTTAGGACTGACAATAACCAGTGATCTAAAGTGGAACCAACATATCAACAACATTATTAAGAAAGCCAACGAACGTATCTATTTTATCATTCAATTGAAACGGGCCCACGTCCCTGAAACTGATGTTTTAAACTTCTACACTACCTGCATCAGACCAGTTATGGAATTTAGCTGCCAAGTATTCCTCTTTGCTCTACCCTCTTGTTTGTCAAACTCCCTGGAACGGATTCAAAAGCGTGTTCTTTCCATAATCTATCCTCAGATGAGTTATGCGGATAGCTTATTTAAATGTGGCATCAAAACTCTGAGTGACAGGCGTGTCGATGCATGCGAGAAACATTTTACTGAAATCAGCACAACACCTGTGGCTAACATGCACGATATCATACCACCTAGATGCCTTTCAAATTACAATCTGAGAAATTCAAGATCTTTTGTCCTTCCAAAAACCAAAACAAATAGATTTAAAAACACTTTTATACCCTCATGCGTGAGACATTTTAATGATAAAATCTAACTTTTAGATCTTTTGAACTATTATATTAGCGTAATTTTATCCTACAATTATGTATTTTAAAAATTCATGTGTAAATAGAGTAAAAATTAATTAACTATTTTTATTAATCTATGTAAATTATAGCACGCAATTCAGCCTTATAGGCTGCTATGTGTTATCTTAATTAAATCTATCTATCTATCCATCTATCTATCTATCTATCTATCTATCTATCTATCTATCTATCTATCTATCTATCTATCTATCTATCTATCTATCTATCTATCTATCTATCTATCTATCTATCTATCTATCTATCTATCTATCTATCTATCTATCTATCTATCTATCTATCTATCTATCTATCTATCTATCTATCTATCTATCTATCTATCATCTATCTACTATCTATCTATCTATCTATCTATCTATCTATCTATCTATCTAATCTATCTATCTATCTATCTATCTATCTATCTATCTATCTATCTATCTAATCTATCTATCTATCTATCTATCTATCTATCTATCTATCTATCTATCTATCTATCTATCTATCTATCTATCTATCTATCTATCTATCTATCTATCTATCTATCTATCTATCTATCTATCTATCTATCTATCTATCTATCTAATCTATCTATCTATCTATCTTATCTATCTTATCTATCTATCTATCTATCTGTTCGTAATGTCAAATTAACGGCTAAATTAACATACCTGTAACAACAAATGTTACACGACATTCAATAATAAATGTCTGATAGTTGCTCATGAAACTGTAGTTGTAGTTCCGCGTGTAATTACCAACAGAGAACCATCCACTGGTTGTGTTAGGATTGCCTGCCCTTGGCGTTGTCGGGCATCTGGGTTTAGGCTCTAACCAACTGATCAAAACTTTTTCTGTTTGACTGCGCACAACCCTCGTAACAGTTTGCGGGCATGGACATGAACAAGCTAAATGGGACAGTAAAAAGATATTGCATCGTAAATCCTAAATAACTTAATCGTAAAAAGTATGCGATGTTTTAAACACAACAGGTGTGTTACATCAGAAAAAGAACTGTTATAAATACTTACGGACAACAGTTAAGTTTACAAAACATTTAAATTGAACCACTTTGCCATCACGTTTATACGAGTACGGGTAAGTAATCACGTGCTTGCCCAGTTGCAAATTTGCAGGAGACTCGTCATAAGGTGGATCAACCTGGCCTCTCTCATAATCAAAACATGTGACTTCCGGGGTTGTCCAATTGACCAATCCAGAATTTGCTCCAGGTTTAGTATATGCAGTAAACTCATATTTTCTACCATATTTACATTCGCATTTACCTGGATTGATGGAAATTAAACATAGTAAAATTACAGGGTACTTGTGAAATGTCGGAAATCCTCGACGAAACCGAAGCAAAGAAAAGGTGTGGACAACGAAGAAACAAGGTTAATAAAAGTTTATCATTATATAATCTTTGATCCACCAATCAGAAATGAAGTATAGTACGCGCTCTCGGGGATTAAAAAAATTTTAAAAACAGTTTTCTATTATATAATGATAAAAACAAATACATACTTAGATGGTTGAAACTATGAAATTTATTTGCAATCCAGGCATATCTGTTTGTTAATGAATATTCTGAAGAAGACTTGAAGTACCGAGTCATGCAGATATATAATTATATAAAAAAGTTCGTCTTGGAAGCAATGAAGATCAGACAAAGGATATCAAACAACACTAAATCTAATCATTTTGCTCAAACGTTTTCGCTTTATTGAAAGCTCCTCAGGTGCTGAATACTTTGTAAGAAATGAGTTGTGACATCCTATATTTACATAATTATTTCACTGGTTTGCCACTACGTCACTACACGTGTGGTGTTGGATTACTTACTGGTAATTTTTTACAAAAATATTACACACAAACCAAGATATGAAAATATATAACAAAATCTTATACATAAACTCTTATTATTATCAAAATGAATTTAAGTCCGGCTGGAGTATAGTTATGTCTCTTGCCTTTGACTCCCTGACTAAGCGGTCTGAATGACTGTCACATTGATAAATCGGCATAATCTGGAAGTTGCAGGAATTTTTCAGCAAAGCTACTGCAATTTTTCTAGAACAGCAATTTTTCAACAAAGCTACCCTAAAAACCTTATCACAAATGGAATAACGAAAGCAACCTCTCTAGGTACCACTGGCCCAACTTAGAACACCAAAACCAGAGATGACAGAGCAAAGATCCTTCCGCTGGTTTTGACACATAATCCAAACAACCCACAAGTAATCAATAAAATAAAACAGGACATGCAATTCCATGAGAACTCCGAGAACATGAAAACAATTCTGGAAAGTACGAAGTTTATTGTCAGCCGCCGCCCACCAAAAAAATTGAAGAAACAGCTTACACAAGCCCGGTTCGTTTCCGAGAGAACTCCCAGCAGTGTAACAAAATGCGGAGAAACAAGATGCGGTACCTGTGCAATCATATTGACCGGAATTGATATCAAACTGAAGAACGGCAAAGCGTGGAATATAAAATGTCAGATGAATTGTAAATCGCGGAACGTTATATATACGTTCCACTCTGCACAAAAAGTTTTTATGTCGGCCAAACTGAAAATCTCCGTCACAGAGTTACGTTACACAGACAGCAAATAAACCATGAAGAATATTGCCACTTAGCAGTAAGTGAGCACATCAGAAATGTAGCAATGGCAACTTGCAGATTATGCGGATTTATCAATGTGACAGTCATTCAGACCGCTTAGTCAGGGACTCAAAAGAAAGAGACATTATAACTATACTCCAGCCGAATTTAAATTCATGTCAATAATAATACCATGCAGTTTATGTAAGATTTGTTATATATTTTCATATCTTTGTTTGTGTGAAATATTTATGTAAATAATTACCAGTGAGTAATCCAACACCACACGTGTAGTGACGTAGTGTCAAACTAGTATAATATGTAAATATAGGATATCACAGCTCGTTTCTTACAAAGTATTCGGCACATGAGAAGCTTTCAATAAAGCGAAAACGTTTGTGCAAAATGATTAGATTTAGTATTGTTTGATATCCTTTGTCTGATCTTCATTGCTTCCAAGACGAACTTTTTTTATATACAGCCACTTGTGTTATCAACCTACATGCACATTTTTTGATATATATATATATATATATATATATATATAAATATATATATATATATATATATATATATATATATATATATATATGTCTATCGATTAAAAAGGTTCTGGATTAAAAAATAGTTAATTTTCGGTTGCTAATTGCTACCTTCATCAAGAGTTTAGAGTTCTAATGTTCATGCAAGCAGTATAGACAGACTATTATGTTGTGCCACTACCCTTGCATGACTGCACGATTGGTACGTAAATTTGAGGAAAGTGTTTATGCTCATTTACTGATCTTTCGTCTAAAATACGTGTCACGAACAAAATAGTACAAACAAAAGACTCTTCCTGGAACCATTGCACTCGATTTTGGACAAAAGAGCAGTGAATGAGCATAAACAGTTTACAAAAAGCTTCACCAAAACTTACCGAATGACGTGCAGGAAGCATCGATCGTTTCATTCAAAACTTTCTCCAACGTTTCTAATTTTACTTCAAACATTCGCTCTGGTGTCGGCCATCTTTTGACACGAAGTTTAAAGCCTGAAAAGTTGAACTTTCCTACAATGCCGCCAGTTAAACTAACATGTACAATTGTGACATTCTTTTTAACATTTATACATTGATTCATGAGCTGTTTTTGATCTTTTAAAATATCGTGTGTTCCGTTCCTTAACAATAGCAACAAAATAACGTCGTCAACATCAGGACGGAAATTCTTAGGACTTGTGTCGTTTAACACCTTTAAAAAACACAGCAACAACTTAGAATTATGTATTATCGAACTTTGAAATCACAAATTTCCACAGCCTATTTGATTTTTTTTCCACCTTTTCCTGATCGAAGACGCTAAATATCCCAACGCTCTTATACCAATAATATTAAAATAATAATAATAATAATAAAATTATTTAATCTTTTGGCAGTTATTGGGAGAGGGCTCTTATGATCATTTGCTTGTTTCGTTATTATTAAACTTGTAAGAAAGCAATGGTGATTTTCATCTTTTTTGGATTAATTAGGGCGTGCATGTGGGAGCCAGCAACATTTTGTTATACTTACACTGTTCACAAGATCACAGACACTTTTTCTGGTCGCGTTGCTATAGCTGTTTGAATCATTGTAAACATGAATACTATCCAGCCACTTTAACAAGTGTGTTTTATTCCTGATTTCTCCAACTTTTAATAATTCTGTTGCTGTGCTATTGGAGAAGCTGATGAAACCCAGATGGGTGCCTTGTTCCTCCACTCCAAGTTTTTCATTTTTAATAAACTTTTTTAGGATTTTGACATGGGGATTGAGGCCAAAAAATTTGGAATTGTCCCAGAGAACGAGAATATCTTTTTTGCAGCCTTAAAGTAAATGCAATTTACTCATATAAGTTATTCAAGCCGTATTTTAAATTTGAGGCAAGATATTTTATATATTTTCCGTTATTCCGTATTTCATGTGTTGATTTTTTCCTGCAATTACTATATAATTATGTTACGTCGACAAAACAAAAAAATACCCGCCGTTCCTTTTTAGAAACTATAGGTTTTGATCCCCAAAAAAGTGTTTCAACAAGCAATTTGAGAAAAGCATAATTCCAGACATATATCTGGAGGATTTTCTAAGGATTTTTCAGGTTTCAAGATTTTTTTTTTCAACGGACCTTTATTAAGTATATCGTTACTTATACATCTTCCTAACACAGGAAATACAGCTTCACCGCTATATTCTTAACGAAATACTCTAATTCAATTACTGTCTGACCAAAATTTCATATGAGCGGTCTGACCATTTTGACCGCCTAAAGGAAACCGTCCAAATGAGCAACTTACACTCAAAGAGTCTCTAGAATTACGCTACTTGGGAACCAGAATATTTTTTACGCTTGTAAAAATCTTTTTCTACAAACTCGTTTTTAAATGTAATTATACTAAAACAATTATGAATGTCCCCCATGCATGCAGTGTTATGTGCAGAACCGATGCGCAGAAGCCGCTGTATGTAACGTAAATCTTTAATCACACAATGTATTTCATGCCAGATTGAAAATTCGCCTTACGCGTATTTTAGTCACATCAACAGCCATACTTTCGTCAAAATCCATCAGACGGTAACGTCCCGCGTGTCTTTCCATCATTGCATGGAAACTTTTTATTCAAATTGGTATTCCAATATTAATTTTTACCGACAATTAAAAGTTGTAAACCTACCTCTTTTTCTGGTATCTTCCTTGATTGTTTTTTCCGTTTCTGTATAAGAGTTAAAAAACATGTAATTAAAATAATACAAACTCAAATTGAATTCTCTATTCGAAACAAACAACATGGATGTACAGGAACATGTCTAGAAAGTGTGATTGACATGAATTAAGACTTGAGAGTTTGGCTGCATGAAACTGTTTTGATGAAGTGGAAGTAAGAGAGAGTTTTTGAAAAATCTTTATAAACACAACACTTGCCTTCGCCTTCGCCTTTACAGGAGCGAACATAAACCATAATATCACATGATTTCTCCCGCCCTCCATACAGTTGAAATATATTCTTGATTTTATTAAAACCAACAGGAAAACTGTGCGGTGATCTTACGTCTGGCTCCACTTTTAAACGACGGAGTTGAAACTTGTGTCGACATGAAATATTTGGTTTCATCCAAAAAATTGGATCTGACAAGTTACTGTAAGTAAAACGGTCTATTCGTTGCTCTTGAAAATGACATGTGCATTTGCCCTCTAACAGAAAAGAATGCAAAATTTATTTCGTTTTTTAAAATGACTTCAATGGCAGTTGACTTAAAACGAAATATGCGAAGTGCAATCATAAACTGCATATATATGTGTAAGGAGACCAGGGTGGCTGCTTGCATCCCAGCTCGTTTAGAGTTGTTTAACTATAGTTAGCGTTAACAACAGTAGAGTAATCCTCAGCTTTATACTAACTAGTTACCTGCTATACAATTCTCTTCACGTACGCAATTATATATGCTTAAGTTCAGTTAATTAGAGAAATTATTCTAATTTGATAAATTAGATCTAAATTTCTGCCGTTCTTAATTAATTTTATTAAACAATTATTTCCACAAAAACAAACATATTCACGACAATTAGACACAAAACATCATACCCATGATAAAGAAGTCAAAAATTCACACGCAACTCCAAATAGGCTGTTTTTATGCTTTATAATGCGTCTCGTCATATTTCATGCACTGTTCAATAACTGCATGCACTAGTAGCATAATGGAAGCAACACAAATATGGAGAAATTTAAAAAGTTGCGATTATTATTACAGATTCTGCACGACTGTACTTCATTTTAAAATGTATTTACGTAACAATGCGATAAATTATTCGTCAAAAACATTTTCTACGAGACATTGCCAGAAATGGCAATTGAAAAACAAGACAGTGTGGCAGATTGCACAGGTAATTAATTCTTATCGAATTACAAATCATCTCCTGAACGCCATGCATAAGACTAGAGCAAATAATTAAAGCAAAGTACGATCATTAAAACTTACCAACAATGGGACACAACTTTATGTAGTCATTAAATCTTTCATCAAGATAGTGAAATGTCTCGTTGCAACACTGTGATATTTTGATATCATCGTCATTTAAACATTCTCTTTCTCATTGCTTTCTGTCTTGAACGAATTCAGACCATTCTCTTTTACAAAACTCTGACTCTTCTTCTTCCCCAAAAACGAGGTTTGCAGCAAAATAAATCATTATAACCGTCTGTAAAACTTCTTTACAGTTGCCAAATATGATTGGTTTACATCGGCTTCGTTTAGTCCTCATTCTATAAAGATAAGTTAAAGTTGTGTTTACAATGTGTATAAAATGTGCAGTCTATAAAATCTAAAAAGTTACGGTGTTAGCAAGGGTAATAAAAAACTGGATAGGAGACTGGACTGACGTAAAAACGACAACATAGTTGAAATTCGTGATGTCACGAGTATTGCGAACATGCCAACGTTTCTTAAGTATTTTTCTATATTTTCTAAGTTCCAAGAATTATATTGAAGCCAACCGCCCACCGTCCATGAAAAAACAGAATGTGGCATTGTCCCGTAACAATCGGCCCGGGTGGCATCCAGAAATTAGTACACGGGCAGGCGGGCACAACCTCCTGCATCTTTCAATGATGAAAAACTCACAACAAAATATTATATTTGGAACGTTCAATAAAAACTAAGGATTTATTTAACCTTGAGAACTATTGACAAACATCTGTAATGGACAGATTAATTTAACTTTTTATTTAATTTATTGTTTGAGAAAGCGCTATTATTTCTAATTGGTACAATTCGCAGATAACCTTAAACACTCTTGAGATATTAAATATTACGAATTTATTCGAAGAAAAAGGCTGCGGAAACATAAAACACTTCAATAACTCTCCTTCGATAAAACGGCCAAATACAACGAACATAATTATCGTATCTTGGCAACGAAGCTAATTACGGCTTTTGATTGGTTAATAGCAGAACCTGAGCTAGCACACACGCGGGCAGTTGCTGCCACTACGAGAGAAATGACCTTTGCTGAATAGGTGGAAATTTTGTCAGAGTATGCGCGAATAAATAAGTGCGTGTACTATGTGGCGTGACACACGCGAGAAAATTTTCGCTTAGAAGCGCGGGAAAATTAAGGCATTTAAAAGTTTAAAAGCTAAAAGAAACAAAATTAATACACAGAAAACTAAAGCCTCGTTTATTGTACTCTTGCTTTTTCTTGAACACGTATCAATATTTTTCACTGTTGCCGGTAGAGCAAAGAGGAACGAAACATGTTGCATTTGTGAGATAATAAACAGAATTTTAATTCAAAACAATAGGAATTTCACACTCGTTGGATGCTCGGGCGCCGGTCGGAGTATCCTCGTACCCTCTTTCGAAACTTCGTTTTACAGGCCCAAGTTTAGGCCACTGAGCTATATAATAATTCCTGGAGGACCGGCTCGTCATTTTTCGGTAACTTCGCCGCCATCTTTTTGTCCGCAAAAACATGGCGGACTTCGCCCTTCTGCGCAACCGCAGAAGCTCTGCTGACGCCACATGGTTCCTTTTGGCCATGGTAGTTACCACTGACCGGGCTCAATTATGAGCCCGCTACAAGGGTGTTCTCCCCCCTGGATTTAGTAAACAACAGGTTCTCCCCCTGGCCTTTATAAAAAAAATTTCCCGTGAAAACTTGTTTTGTTTTTTTGAAATATAAAGTCATGAAAACATCATTAATTGCATTTTTTTGAAATATAAAGCGGTTTTTTAAGATGAATACAAGTCGTAGACGCTGTTATTGCCAACGCAAGAACAAATATGTATTAAAACGTCAAAAATTTGTGGACAAAATTGAAGATTTTAATTCTGACACGAACTGACAGGTGTTTTTTTTATATTTTCATTATTTCTACATTCCTATAACAAATGCTTGAACTTTTTGGCACTATTGTCGGACATTTTGGGGACAATTGGATATTTATGGACATCAATTAGACTTTTTTGAACCCTGCATGAACAGCAGAATTACTGAAAGTATGGAATTAATAATGTTTTCTTGAATAGTCTTGAATGTCTTCAGAACAATATATCTAGGTATAATCCAAAGAAACAGAGACCAAAGCTCAGGGGCAAGATGCTTGGCAGCTGACTAAGTGCAAGAATATAGTTTTAACCATGAGTCATATTTGCATAATATACTTTTCAGTTAGGTCATCCGCTTAATTGTACCTCAATGGGCTATAAAAGTTTTCAATATTATCTAATTGCACCCCTGGACCCCTGGTCTTATTAATGAATAATATTCATCCCTCCATAGACTTAATTACTCCTAGCTGATTAGCCCATTGAATTTAGCCCTCTTGAAGATTGATACCATAAACAGAAAATTATAAAAGTGGCTGCAGATTGAAGATACACTGCTTACACAATGCATGTTTATATTTATTTCTTTTATAAATATAACAATGGTTATAAAAATAACAGCCAAAAACAAAATCAGATAACATGGTAATTAAGGATAACAATGCAGATTCATAAGAATGTGTATAATATGCTTAATACATTTCAGTTCAATGTTCCAACAAATTGCATGACAATTAATTAATAAGCCATCTTTAGCTTGCTTTATTTCATTAATTAATAAGCCATCTTTAGCTTGCTTTATTTCATAGCATCTTCATCCTGAAAAATATAAATGGAGATCTGATCAAGATTTATTCACAAGGTGCAAGTTAAAAATCAATTAATTATAAGCCATGATAATTGATTTGAATTTGACAAGGCAAACAAGATAACATATTCACTAGGTTTTAACAGTCACCATCATCGAGGTTGAAATTTACACTGTTTGCAGCAAAAATCTTATTACTTTGTATCAGCACCCACTCAGCACTTTTGTCAGTTAGATCATGTTAATTATTGCTTAAATCTAATACACTCACTGGGGGGAAGGTTTACCTATTTACATTATTGTTTGCTATCATGAAAACAAAATAGACCAAACTCAAAGATTGACATTGCCAGGAATTTAATTCCTTCCCCACACAAGACAAGAAAATGATAAAGTTTGAGTATATAACATTGCACATGTACCAAAGGTCTAAAATAGTATATTTGCTGTTTGTACCATAAGTTTTGATGGATTTATATGGCTCAGAACCTTTGGCAGTCAGTTTATATTCGAGTCTAAAGGCAAAAAACTGAAATTGTTATAAAAACCGGCTTACCTGGGTAACCTGGATGCCATAAAATAACAGCCGAATGAGAAAAATCATTCCCCCGATAAGTGAATTAAGGTGGCTCCCTAGAGTTTTGTAAAAATTCTAGATAGTAGGTTTGTTGTGGCGAATTAAGCGCCAATATTGCAGACTAAAGATCATTAGTATACACCCGACTATCGTCTATTACAAATCCTACATTCTGATTGGCTACTCAACCATCGTCTATTCGTGATAGTGCACGTTTGGGAAAAATTCGCTCGCGCGACCGTATAAAATTGCATTAATTAAATTATTTTTCGGTGTAATTTTGCGGTGTATCGATTATTTCCTCGAAATTAATATATCTATGTACAGGGTGTATACTAAAACAATTAGACAACTCGCCTTCGTTGCCTATGAGCGGATAGTCAACTCAGGCTTCGCCTTCGTTGACTATTCGCTCATAGACAACTCGGACTCGTTGTCTAATTGTTAAATAATACTTTTGATTATATTGTGGAGTACGTTAGAGATGAGAAACTGTTGACGGATTAACCAAAGAGTAAATATATAAAGAGGTTTCACTCTGGCGAAAATCGGTCACACGCATAGCTGAGCCACACTACGCATGCGTAATATTCCAGCCAGTACCTTTGTGGTTTTTAATGAGGAAAACACCAATTTTTATCATAAAAACAACGATTTTAAAAAAACTATCCAAGCAATTTGCTGTTTTGTTACAAATTCAAAAGAATGGGTTGGGATGGACATTTTGAACAACAAATTGGGCTGTGAACAGTACTTGAACACGGCGAAAACGTAAAATTATACGCGAAGGAGTGAAGTTCGAGAAGAACCTAGAATGTTTAGTGTTTACAAAGTCAAAAGACGAGGAAAAAGTTGTTTTATATGAGACTTAATGCGCTGCCTTGTGTAGTTTCTGTGGGAAAAAGCTCAGATGTTGTTGAGAAATGACGGTTCGGGATATTTTGTATGATAATGTAGTGGTAAGAACTTAAATTCGCTTCTTGTAAATAGTGAAAAACTTTCGAAGAACAACAAAGAACAGCACTTGACCGAAAGCGTCTTTTTTTCCTAAATTCCCCTGTTTTATCCGTCTTTGTGCATTATGTTATTGATAATTTATATGCTTGTAACTTATTTTCTTCTCTGTCGTGTTTTTTGTACATTAAATACTAAATAAAACGTATAAAGACAAGAATAACAAACATTTAATAGACCGGCATGGCCGCTACTGTGGGCAGATCGCTCCTTCAAGTTTCAAAACCAAGTGAACGTTTCTCAAACGATAAACCGTACTCCTTAGGTGGATAAAAATGATCGCTTACTATCACTGTTCAAAATTTTTTACCTTTTATGGGGATCTAAAGGATCGTTTCCTTAATATCGCCACTTTTTGCATATCGAACTGTGTTTTCCTATACTTTTCTATGGAAAATCCGGCCATGGTACTGGCTGCTGCATATTAAATGTTTATTTGGCATATTTAATTTGCCCTTGATGGCGCAGAATGGCGTAGAAATAGCGTGGAAATGACGTGTCACGGAAAATTCGTGTGACATGCTAAAGTATTGAATTTCGCCACAGTGAACCCTCTTTATATATTTACTCTTTGGATTAACTATGAAGGTCGTTGCTATGGAAACAGTAAGGTTTCAACATGGCCGCTAATTATAATTTAATTGCAATTATCTCGTGAATCCTTCGGTGAATTTTTTTTATTTTTCACCGAATGCTTTGCAGGTCATTTAGTAAACGACCGGACAATTTTAAAAGAAAGTTATTGATAGGCTTTTTTTTAATTGCGTAAAACCATATTTTCCCCCTTTAATTTTTTTTGTATCGATAACTTTTTCTTAAAATTGTCCTGTCAATTACTAACCATCTGGGAAAATGTTCAGTGGAAAAAGAACATTTTTCACCGAAGGGTTTGTGAAATAATCGTAATTTAATGATAATTGGTGGCCATATTGAAACGTCATTGTTTCCATGGCAACAGCTTATATAATTGGCCAATCAATATTTTCTTATTTCGAACATGGTAATCAATACGTTAAAGCTAATTTTAATCTATAGTT